TATTTACATGAAAATTACAAAGCAAAATATATGAGTAGTGGACCTGGTTTAAAGAACTGTATAAATAACGAGACACACAAACTTGAAATTACATATTTCCATTGTTAGTAAATGTCCTTGCACATTTTTAACCCTGTTTGGCTTTTATTTATGAATATTCAAACAAAGGAGATATTAAGACTGCAAAAATCAAAAGAATCGCAGCTCATTATACCTCATTTCCTTTAATGTTTTTCACTGACTTTCTCAAAGAATGGAATCGCTTCAATCAACACTTAAAAAAATAGCCCTCTGGTTCTAAAAGAATTTCAAATTAATTATATTTTCCAAAGGATTTTTAGCAAGCAATGAAAGTTTAAACTAAATCCATCCTGGGCCCATTTTAGGATATAGTCTTTATATACCGGTTTTATGAATATCAAGGTGTTTATTATGCACATATAAAAGGTACGTGAATTACACTAACACATTTTTTCTTTTAAAGCAAAAGCATTAATCATGATCCATAGCTCAGAATCCTGCAAAGGAGGATGTTTACTACCTTATGTTGTAATTATAAGCCCTCCTATTCATTTGAATAAATTAGTAGAAGCAGCAGTGTTGTAGGGTTAAATACAATAGAAATCCCAGTCTTTGGTCTTTGACATTTAAACAACTAATGAACCGCAGTATAAAACAATATGAATAACAGTGTTCAATGAGGTCATTCATTAGTTTATGATTGTTTTAAAAGAATTAAAATGCAATATTATTTTACTTTGTGATCATAACATTTTGCAATATTCATTACTATAATATACACTAGTACACAGAGGAAAATCATTTCTCCAAGTATCTTTAAATAGGGTCACATGAGCAATTCTAATTAGACCAAAGCTACTGGAAGAATAAGGTGACAAGACCTCACTTATAAGAGACTCGAATGTGAGTTTGGTTTTGATGGCTAAATAGAGAATTTGGTCATTAAATATCTTCAACTATTTTAATAATTTAATATTACGATATTGATATTACCTGCTATAAAATACAGCACTTAAATGCCTTAAACACCCTCAATCTCTCTATCTATTGCTGCCTCATATAGGGATGCCAGGTTTGCAGTGATATAATTCATTAGGAGTTTTACTGTATCAAATGTCAGTTTTATAAAATGAGGCACTGTCCAACTGAGTAATTCAAATGGCAGAATATGTAGGAATTTTGAATGGCATAACAGGTTACAAAGAGTTCAGCAACGGACCTTTGTGATCAAATTACCATTTCTTCAAAAGACCAATGCTTTTTAGTTTGATGGAGATAAGTAATCATAGAATGATCAACAGCGTATTGATATTTGGTAAATACTTCTATTAATTTCCTAAATAGTCATTTTTAATAAGACCTAAATACATTCTTTTTCTCTTTAATGTTAACCATATTACTGAAGCCTGTCAACAAAGCATCGTTTTCTGAAAGGGACGTTGACGTTCAAATGATTAGAGCAAGAAAGGGAGTGTAGAAAAAAATAGCGTTTGACTGCTGGAAAGATGTGCATTTCAACATTTATAAACAACAATGTCTAGGTATAGAAGGAGGTCAATAATAACAAGTTCAGAGCAGGGTACTGAACTCAAGATTGCTGAGTCTTTTCTTAAGGGAATCAGTGACATTTAGAGATGAAGGTAACCAAAGAAAACTTCTAGTTTGGCGTACCCCTCCCCAAGAGAAGTAAATGGTGACCAAGATAATTAAATATATTTCTTAAGGTCACATGAGTAGGTAGAGGGGCAGAAACACACCTGGAACTCCTGGCTCCATTTTCAGAGATGTGAAGTACTGAAATCTAAGATTTCCAGGTTAATGTAAAATATGAAGCATAAAATTATCTTAAATTCTTAGATAAACAGTTTTGCACCAGATTATACAGCTTATGGTTCATAATAAAATAAGAGAAAAAAAGTAGGACCAAGAAGTACAGAATAGAAATTTTGGAGGAGATTTGGAAGGTTTTTTTTTGGAAGTGCCTTACTGAAATATTCTGAAAGAAAAAAAATAATTTGTCCTTTCTGCTTCTCTCCTTTGGATCTCAAAACATGAGCGCAAATACTTCTCTGTCCATTCTCAGCTAAGAATTTAAACGGCTAGGAATGCTGTCAGTCCCCTTCCTTCTCTCTATCCTTCCTTCCTGCCTGTTTGCCTGCCTTCTCCACTTAAACTGGATACCAAGTTCAGGGTCCATGTAATACATTTGAAAGGAATCACTTTTCTGAGTTTAATTTGGGAAAAATGAAATTTGCATCTAAGTAAACTGCACTGTATGTATTTTGTAACACAAAAATGGTACTGGAAAAACAGATAATGAATCTGTTTGGGTAGTCTGCAATTAAGGAAAGAAACTCTGTATCAAGAAAGAATCAAGCCTTCTTTATGAGGAAATTAAGGACCTTTCAGAGCAATCTTCTGTGCCTTTAATAGAAGCCCAAACTCTGAGGCTGAGTTTATACTTAGATTCTAAGGAATCTAAAACAGCAAGTCAAGTAATTTAAACCACCCATTTAGTGCTGTGTAGGAAAGCTACCTGTATCTCTATGCTCTGTTTTTCTACCACACTGAGCAGATATTTTTACATCATCTAGACATAGTCTAACTCTCTTACACATTTCTTTTGAATTGCGTTTGTAACATTTCAAAATACATGTGAATTCAAAATTTGACAGCCCCTCACTGGAATTGGTTTTAACACTTTTTATCTTTTCTCCTCTCATGACATATAGTTTACAATTTTGACGTCCCCTTTCACCTTCTATAATATTTGCTCTTGGAATTAGAACATGTCAGAGCTGGAAGAAATCTTAAGAGACCATTTGATTCAATGCTTTTGTTGCAAAGTTGAGTAAACTGAAGCCTGGAGATATTCCCAGACTGCCTAAATCAGTTTACTGATTAGTAGAAGACAGAGCTGAGATTAGAAACAGGGCTAATCACTAATCAAAAGAATTGTTCCCATTTGACTAAGAAACTTTCTCATTGTTTTAATTTAGAACTTGAATATGTCTCAAATTAATACATAGCATTTTCCTAAAAGGTCTGTACAGTGATTAGCACCCATAATTTATCAAAATTTCTTGTGTTATACTTTGCGTGAACATTTTGCAAAAAACAATGGGAGGATTTCTCGTAGTAACTTCTAATGTTTTAGCTTAAATAAATTAAACTCCTGTGTTAGGATATGACTTTTTAAGCCCTTGCACATCTTAACTTTTACTCCAATATTGACTTAAGGTTTATATAATAACCCCCAAACACAAGTTCTATTTTAAGAGTAATAAAACTGCACTAGCTTTCTGACTTTTCTGCTGAGTACAGAATACATTTAGTGAAATGGAGGTTTTTCAGGTATTCAATGTGTTACGTTATCCCAACAAGAGAATTCTGGTCAAACGGTTCACTTTGTTGCTTGCCTTACTCAGATTTCTTACTTTCGCTAATCAGATTATTTCTATAAATTCCAGTCTCCCACTTCACCCTGTGCTGCAGAGTCCTGAACTCCAAAGATTCTACAGTCACGGACTTCCAAACTGAAAACTTCCACACACCTGTAATCGTGTGTGCATGGGGGAGAAAAAGATGGACTGACGTGTGAAAATGAAAGACTTACCTTATAGTAATCAAGTCATCTTCCCAGAACAGGAAATAGCTAATACAATTTTATGTTCTTGGGTTCTATAAGGTGCGAGAGTTCGAGTTAAGCAGTGTTGTAGTAAATGCGTGGGCAGTATTCTGGAGTTATTTATCAGCAGCTAATTTACAAAAAGAAGCAACAGAGGACGGAAGCAACTATGCTCTCTGATTCGGGGTAGCTTAGCGGTCTAACAAAAGTAATCAAATATTAAGAGCTGCAAAGGAATGTGACTAAATTCCTTAAAATATGAATCTAATGGAGTAAACACATTTTCAACACGTTCGCTAACATTTGTATGTCTTACTGTTTAAGCGGGGATTTTCACTTTAATTTCTACCACCCTTAAGTCTTAATCTCCAATAAAAAGTACATAGATATAATTCTGTAGATGATATTCCAATGGAAAGTGAATTCATTCTCAGCATTAGGCATCACAGTAGTTTTTATTTATTTAGAGGATGTTTGAATTTTAGCAGTCCGAGTCAAGTATAAAGGGAATGAAGCAAACAAAAATTGTACTCTTAGAACCTAGCTGTAAAGGATATCATGTGAATTAAAAAAAAAAAAAAGATCTATGGATTCCACACCATCGGTAGGTCCCTCTTAATCCTACCTTATATTGCAATCAATTGGATGTTTGGTTAAAGGCAAATACGTCACATGCAATAGCCAAGTACATACTATATAAGGCCGTTCAGATCTGACAAATGACGGTATAATGGCATTTTGTTAATTCTGTAAAGATTCTATTGCTGAGAGCTTTCAAAATTACCTAATGTACCAAATTCTAGAGTTAGTAGACAAAGAGTAACAACACATTGAATTTAAAGAAACAAATAAAACTCAGGGTGGGATTCTGTCTTGTCTTGTTTTGTTAAAAACCATGTATTGAATTTAATTTTTAGTAAAGCAAGCATTACATAATGCTTTAAAATTTTAAAATTCAGGGATAAAAGTTTACATCCAAAAAGATGAATGGAAAATTGTGCTTTCAGACTGTAGAACTAGTTTTCTTACAGGGTTAACCATTTCATCTTGCCATTGGATACTGGGAATTTCATCTATGTCATGTATATGTGGCAGTCCACATCCAGGTCCTGCAAAAATCTAAAACTGTGTGCTTCACTTCATGTAGCAAAGGCACCTATGTTATTCTCCCTTCTGAGCAAAAGTTATGATCCAGTTTTCCTGCTGAAGATGGTTTTTCCACTGTTCTGTCACTCACCCTCTCCGTGTTGAGCAGTACAGAAAATCACGAGAGAAGGTGGTGCGAATCCCTGCTTACACTGGAAGGAGTTGCTCTGTGGACCATTTGGAGAAGCTCTGGACTGATCACGAGGGAAACGGAGCAGAACTGTGAAGGAGACGTACGGGAACAAAAGGCTATTCTGGTGTGAGGAGAAATCAGTCAGTTCAGCTCCACAAGCAGATGTTGCTACTGGACTGACAAGTAGACCCGGCCCCAGCTGGAGACAGGTACAGTTTGCCGTTGGGGCAGACACACAGTTCATGCACTGTCTGCCGAGAGTGGGAGGGGCTGGGTGAAGAAGAGGAAGGAGAGCCGGTCGGCAGGTTTCCCAGCCGGATTGTAGCCGCATTCAAAAATATCTAGGGGGAAAGAAATTGCATTTTAATTCCTTTTAGCGTCCTATATTCTTAAGAGCTTTACAGCATGGTCTAATAAGAAAGACCACAGGACAAACAATTTTGTTGGTTTAGCTGCCAAACCTTGCTGAACCAACAAATGGCGTTCCTACGGTACAGCCCAAACGCTCTGTGGCTACCTGAGCCTTTGAGACACGGTATATTCTGAGAGAATGCCCTCGAAATGAAAGCAAGATTGTATAATCTGCTTACGGGGCCAACTCGGTTATTCAGACACCACAGAAAATGAATGCTTTTGACTGTCAGTTAATTTAACTTAAACGTGCCAGTCTAAAGAATATACAAAGAAATAAGGATGTTTATGGAGATGCCATTAGTGAAGTGATGGGCAATTAATTAAAACAATTTTACTCTCTGGTTTAATTTTTTTTTAAATACTCATAAAGTCACGTTGACTCCCAATCTACACCAAGTAGATAATGTGCATAGTAAATAACAGGTAACTATTAGATATAATCAGGTTTGAAGACTCCATGAAATATATGACCTGTACTTAACACCCATGTTGCTAAATCTTCTAACTTGCAAAATTACTTCACTTATTCCAAATCATGGACACAACACTTTCAGGGCCAGGGATCATATGGTTTTGACATGCATGGGGAATGGTCCAAAGAAAGGAAAACTAGATCATGAGTTTGAATGAGCAAAGAAACAAACTCTCTCTAGCTATGTCTTGATTCTATTGTTATGTAGCTAATTACGGCCTAAAGGCATCTCTAAATTGACAAGAGAACCAGAGAATATTCCATTTTCTACACATTTGCTCTCACCTAAGTCCTAATCATTTCTTACTAAGACTCTTGCAATAGCCCCCTAATTGGCCTCCCAGTGGCCACTCTTGTCCTCTTACAGTCTATTGTACATGCTGTTGGAGTGAACTTCTAAGAAATGCAAACCAAATCATGTCCTACCAGCGCTCAAGTTTCTCTAACGGCCTCCCACCATGCTTAAAATGAATCTTGATTCCTTTCCACGGCCCACAAGCCCTGTATGATCTGGCCTATCTCTCTAACATCACTTCCTACAATTCTTCTTGCACGAACTCTCACATTTTCTCAAACACACCAAAACAACCCTGGCCTCAGGGCTTTTTAACTCCTCATTTTCCTAGCCTGAAAAACTTTTCTCCAAATATTTACAAGTGGGGATAGATATTAACAGGGTGGTTAGAGAACAGAGGTAGGAGGGAGATTTCCTCTGTTTGCCTTTTCATGCTTTAAATTTTTTTGAAATATAGGAATCTATGACACACTAAGAATAAGCCAGAAAAAGAATTCCTATACCATAGACATGTATACTTTAGATTAACTTTAATTTTAGATGTGAGCTTATTTGTCCTGATCTCTACTAAAAGGTCACACTCTAAAAGAGGACTTTCCTAACCACCCTATTAAAGTAACACAAATCCATTAATCTCTCCTTACCAGCTTTACTTTACTCTGTAGTAACAATCTCTTCCTAACATTATATTGTGTATTTGTTCATTTATTGTTTATTTCTCTTACTTGCAAGTAATATCTATGAGGGCAGGGCCTGTCATTGGTTCAAGACTATAGAAGAGTGCATAAAATTGTGCCAGTACAAGTTGCATGAAGTAATGCTTTTCCTTCACCTTGTACATGTCTCTCTCCTCTAGGGTACAATTCTCACCCTCCACCAAAGCCCAGTTCATCTGCTTCATCCTCTATGGACCTTTCCCTAGTGCCCCAAGACGGAAAGACTCTTCTTATTTGGTTCTCCTGTAGCAGTTTATTATTAATATCTTATTTTGCTCATCACTTGGTAGCTTATTTTATAGTCATATTGATATATTACTTTCTCTAATAAACTATGTCCTTCTTGAAGGTAGAATTAAGTCTGAATTTTTTTATAACTTCACAGTGCTTGACCCTGCATGTACAGCTTCCATGTAATACAAATAGTTGCTGAATAAATGGATAGATTATGAAATAAAAATGATTGCATTTACCAACAGTATTCAAAGTTAAGAAAGAATAATTAAAGTTTTTGTTTGTAGGTATCAAATGTTGAAATTTATTACTTCATAATTTCTTCTACGGTAAGTGACAGGAAAGCAAAGAGAAAGGACTTCTATTTTTTTTAAGATGAATTTTTGTTTTTCTGATTCAAAAGTGCACAAAACTAAGTAAAAAAAAATGACAACGTATTTTTGGGTTATAAATGCTGGGCCTCATTTCTTCCTGCTCTGTGTTTCCATGAAGAGGGACATCAATGAGTGTAATACCAATTGCTACACGCTGTGGGTTCTTTCACTCACTTCTCCACGGGGGGAGGAAGGATGATTCCTCTTACTGGTTGAGTTTGACAGAGGAACTGGGCTTGCACAGCACAACCCCCTTTCTTCCCTTCTGCTGAGGAGTTGGCATGCTTGCAGAGAGTAGATATTCTCAAGTTTCGCCAATGCCAAACGTATTATAAAGACAAGCTCTGGGACTGTGGGGTTTAGGTCTGCATATGTGGAGGTTAGTTCATGCTGAAAAAGTGTTAGGAGCTGGTGTTTTGTCCAAGAAACCTTGTGACGTAGACAATAAAGAATGCAACATGGAAAGCTAAAGAACATGTGGATAAGGAGGCTCATGTAGGATTCATCAAATGACTCTAAGATATTGTCAGTGGTTCATTTCTTAGTAAGCACAGAAGCAAGTGTTACTGGCAAGCCCTGGTGAGTTTCAGAGGCTTGCTAACACCAGGCCACATCGCTGGGTTTTATAGTTTGGAACTGATTGCCTTTCCGTTGGTGTAGCCTAACTGAATAAATGTGGAGAGTAGCTGTTTTTATACAGGTAGGACATGCAGGTGGCAGCCTCAGAAAGCAAGCCCAGCTGTGGTGGCCTTATCAATGGAGTTAGCCTTGAACCTTATGGTATGTGGCCTGCTTCAGTTTAGCTATAGCTGTGCCCTCCAGCTCTCCTATCCATTTACGGGTGACTCTTGATCATATTTGGCTATGTGGCAATACTTAATTCCATCATCTTCTGAGATCCACATTGTAGCTTCACCCATATATGGGAGGTAGATTTTTATTAATAGGTAAATTTAAATGAATGGGGTCTTTAAAAGAGAAAATGGGAGTTGATTATATGGGGATGGATGAAAACTAGAACTTTGGTGGTGATCACTTTGTAGTATATACAGATGTGAAATTATAATGCTGTACACCTGAAACTTACACAGTGTTATATACCACTTTTACCTCAATAATAATATAAAATTAAAGAAGAAATAATAAAGGAACAAAGAAAGGATAAAGAAAAAGAAGGAATATAAATAAAATTCTGAATTTCGAAAGTTAGCCTCACAGATATAAGATCCATCCATAGAACGATGAAAGATTGAATAAATGATGGCTTTACATTTAAAAAATAAAAAGAAAGAAAAAGAAAAGAAAGGGGAGAAAAAATATTTTCTTGGTTTGAGACAGAAAACTAAGTTATGAGATAAAAAGGGGTGTCATATATTGATTCTTTCCAACCCCACGTAGCTCAGCTTTTCCAGGCTTCTGCAGCTTGGATGGACCCCCTCATAACTCTTTCTGTTCTGCTTAAGGCACTTCCGATGACACTGCTCACTTTCCAACTTCTAAAATTGATATTTCTATTCCAGATCACCCTATAAACCATATAATCCATTTGTTGTGAAACTCTTCCTTGTACTCAGAATGACACCCCTGAGCTTTTAAGTCACAGCCCATTGTCTTCTCTCTACCAAGAATCCATTTATTCCATTCTTACCTGTTGAAATCAGACCTATCCCTGTAGAACATTTAATCAGTTTGTAAGATAAAAAAATTGTGTCATCTTGTAACATACGTTATTAAGTTACTGCATTGCATATGCTATTATAACTTTCAATGTTTTACCTACAGTTGTCATTCATGTTGTTTTCAGAGCTGAATTTGAAATTCCTTGCAATACGGTGTCTGAAATGAATGAAACTTCTGCAGTGCAGAACTTTGTGTGCAATTTCATTCTTACTTATTTTGGTTACCTCAACACCATGTTTGCCGTGATCTTAATTAATTTAAACACTACCTAAGAGTAGGGACTTTATATTTTTCTGTATTATTTAATAATTGGTGGATCTGCCTTTCTGTGGCATAGTCAATGAAGCAAAGAGAAAGATTTTATATCATTTCATACTTCTTCCTAGAAAAATTACATGCGATTTCATTCTAATAGAAAGTGCTGTGCTTTTCTGTATATTTATTTTATTAATATAAAAAATGGCCACAGCTGAAAGCTTTTGGCTGTGACTTATTTACAGCATAATACTCAATTCATAATTAAATGCTAATCTGTAATTGAATTCAAGGATTCTGCTGATACTCTGAATAAAAGAACATAAGTAAAGTGGAGCATAAATAGAAGCAGAATGGAGATTAATAACCATCAATATTTATTATGAGATGATTCATTATGAATAATTTGAATGAAATGATTAGCATGATAAAAATGCTTTAAAAAAGATGTGAGATATTTAAGAAAGATTTCTCTCTTGCTGTGGTAGACAAAGTATTGTAGTCTGCAATTGTAGTGGGGAGAAATCCTGAAAGGTAATACGGATATATGTTTTCAATATTATAAAACATATTTCTAGATTATTTAAGCTGTAATATCAGATAAGATGCTAATGACCCTGGCAATAAGTTTGTTTATAAAAAGGAAGCCAAATGTGTAATACAAATTTATCTTGAATCAATAACTGAGATACTGGTATAAAGGTAAGAAAGGAACATCCTCTTTTTGATTCTGTTAATGTCTGCCCTCATATTTACATCTGAAGAGGTCCGAGATGCGCCAGAGCGTCACTCTCAAATCATCCTTCCAAGCTTTTTCTTCTCAGCTTGACCTTTATAAACTCATTAAAAAAATAAATAAGCACACGAAGGAAGAAAATATTAAGGGAATTAATTGGTGGAAACAGCAGCACAACAGATTTAGACCTTCAAGGACTTTGGGAATTGTGGTAAAAATATACAGAATCGAATATGTATTATGCATAAGGCTTTGAAATAATGAAGGTAGAATTAAAAACAAACAAGCAAACGAGAGCAACTACCAAGATGTCCAGGCAGATTTGAAAAAAAGCAACAGATGAGAATCCTAGAAATGAATAACAAAATTACTGAAATTAAAAGCCCAATGTAGGGATTGAAGAAGAGATTAGATACTGAGGAGGAACCTGGCATGTGGATCTGAATAAATAGGCAGAGTGAGGCATAGGGCAATAAAGAAATAGAAATGAGGAAGGAGAGGCTAAGAGATCTGGAAGGTAAGGGAATGAAAAGACATTTCTTCAGAGAGTCTGAAAAAGGCCATAGAGAAAAGGGGGAGAGGGACTATCTGAAGACGTAATGTTGAGGAATTTCCAGAATGGACAAAAATGTGATTCTGCAGACACAATAGTCACAATGTATACAGCAAGTAAAGGAGACAAAATAAATACCTGCCTATCACATTCCAGTGAAAGAATGGAAGCCCAAAGACAAAGCCCAAAGACTGTTCTTTAAATCAGGCAGTAAGAGAAAGAAGAGGATCTTTAAAGGAATGAGGACAACAGAGTTTAAACAGACTCTTGGGTGAAATAAAGCAACATGGAAGAAAAACAGCATGTATCTCATCTAGGAAATAACTGGGTGAAATAGCAAAATAAACTTTTGCTTTTTGTTTCCCTTTTAGAAAAATATAGGTACTATTTCTACTGAGACAAACACACAAACTTTCAAAGCACTTTTTGGAAAAACTTTTTGAAGACCAAAATGGAACCAAGACAGCAAAGACTTGCCTTCATTCTGGGTATTACCTTGATATTCATTCCATTCATCTGTCGATTTTTGAAACTGCAGGAACTTAGATGCCCCACTTATAAATGACTTATGAATGAATATCTTACAGTAGAAAAATAAATGGGGCTTTGACTTATGAAAATAACATTAGGTTTACCCAGTTTCATATTTAAGAAGTATTAATATTTTCATAATTTGAGCCCTCTTATGAAGTAGTTCCTTATGTTTCTCCTGGAATCATATGCGTATAATTTGAGAAGAAGCACCCTCCACAGTAAAAGGCCAGGGTCTACACCTCAGAACTCACCTCCCCCTCTGTGGACTGCAAGTGGAGCTCCTTCCTGCAGGCAGCCTTGAAGTCTCCAGCTGCAGCACTCACCTGGACCCCCCGGGGAGCTTCCATTATCAAGGACCTGGTTGGTGATTCAAGCCTTAAACAAACAAACAAACAAACAAAAACACCTTAATATTGATAAGAAAAAAAGTTTACCTTGGACTCAAAGATAATGTTAGTCAACTAAAACAAACAGGCAGGCATAAATACAAATCCTTGTCATTTCCAAAAAGGAAAAATGCTAAAAGGAGTTTTAGAAAGATTTTTGATTGCTTTATCTATTTTTTGGCTCTTTCTTCATTTGTTAGCATCAATTATTTACTCTAATTTGTATAATGATTTAGTAACCGTTTCTTGTGTTGTTTCCCTTCACAATGCACATGAAAAGTAGGTCGTGGTAGTTTACTAGTTTAAATCTTTTACATATTTTCAATATTAATGATGGAGTCTTAAGAAATAAATTTCTAGAAAGTTAGCATGTAAGTATCCCTCAGTAAAGTGTCCTTGTCTTGCAAAGATGAGAGAGTTTTAATGAAAATCATTAATATTGCAAACTTCCAAATGTGCCCAGTCAAAATTCTTAAACTAAAAAATTCTCAAGGGACTTTTTACACTTCTAGACATTAATTAAAATGAGGACGTAAGATACTTCCTACATCACCTGACCTCTATCGGCCCAAGAAAATGTCCACAGAATGAATGACATTAGTCTGAGAAAGAAAAATTAAATGAGGGGAGATACACAAGTGTTTTAGATAGCTGTGCCTGCAAAAAAGATAGTTGGGAGGTATTTTCAAAATTATCTCCAAATATAAACGTAGAGAAAGAGCAAAGGAAGGCAAAATACAGAAACAAGAATATAGTCGTAAAAAGCACTTGGTGTGATAAGAGATCTTATCCTGGAGTTGATCGTTTTGGATAATAGCTTGCTCTGGGGCTGTAACTGCCTGTGTTCCTCGTGACCTCAGGACTTCAGGACAAGAGTCCCTTCAGGCTCATATTCACCATCATCGAGAGCAACAGGTCTCCTTTGAGGCTACCATCCCAGTGTGGTTTTTCAGAGAGAATCACACCAAATAGTTTGAGCACTGAAGATCAGCCCTCTCTCTCAGTAGTAAAGTTGAACTTAAACACTTGAAAGTGATATTGAAGGACTAAAGCCAGCATTTTGAAGAAGTGATTTCAACACTTTAAATTTTTTTTCACTCACTAAAGCAACTTTGAAACTTTCATCCCTATAGGCCTTTTGGATATCTTCATAAAATCCCTTGAGGGTGAGGTTTTCAATATATATATTTTAAAGAAATGTCTGTTTGTTTTTTTTTAAACACAAATTACACATTTTCACAGAATATTTGAAAACTTCAAAAAGAATCACCCATAATTTTTTTCATTCATAATATTTATACTTTGCACAGAGTATCTAAATTTCAAAATCTGAATATTTAAATATATATTTATAAGTGATGTCCTCTGATACACCCCCAAATATTCACCATCTTGAATAATATATCTGTGACCATTTCTATTTCCACTTGTTATAGACCATTTCTATAACATTAAACGTAATTACATAAGTTTGGGTATGACTGAACCACTCAATCAGAAGTCAGATAAGAACTTAATTAACATGAATTAATGTTCTGAAACATTATGAATCTGAAGGAAACACAACTTGTAAGTGGGAGGAAAAACACGCTTATTTTATCAAATAATTGATATGGTGTAGTTTGTTTCCAAGGATAAGGGGTTGGGATACTTATATATTTGACAGTAAATTATCTGTAATAAGTGTGAACATTTTTTATACTATATTTTTACCCTATTTCTGCTAGAGCATTAAAATATAGTAAGTACTTCTGGGCTTTTGAGTTTTTCCATTCTCATCCTTACTAAATATTTAATTAAAAAATCTTAATTGTCTTCATCTTCATTTTAGACCTCAGGTACCCATTGGCAGTCTTGCTATGGAGTGTTTTGCTAGCATTGACTTAGCGGATCCCTATTCAAAGAGGCAGTAAAGATGGAGAGCTGGCTAGACCTGGGTTCAGGAAAGTGAGCCAGCAGCAATAAATTTCAGTTTTATCATCTCTAAAATTGACAATTATAATGTTTTCTTATAGGATTGTAAGGAATCTCTTAAACTGATTAAGGGAAATAGCTATGTAGTGGGATAGTAGTTTGAAATGTATGGGATTTCCTCCCTGTCCCCTTTCCTTGCTTCCTTTGCCATTCCCCATTCACTAAACACTATCCTTTGCCAAAAATGGTGGACCATAGAGCAGAGAAGCTGTTAAAGATATTTTGTGTTTCCTAATGTTACAGACATTTTGAGTTGAAAAAAAACCCTAGCCATTTATTGTGTTGAAAATGATTCAGCACATAAACAAAAACAGAGAAGAAAACCAACATCAGTAAGACCTTGTTGTTTATTTCACGAGTTGGAGGAACTGTTTTCTTGATTCACAGGCTAGAGAAGATTTGGAGAGAAATAAACAGAATTGGTCTTGAATGGCTCTCTGTGTTCTGCTACCTGAGGTCAAGTCCTAGGTTTGTGGGACCTTTATTCTTTAGGTGTTAGAGGTCTGAGGAGAGAGTGATATTTCAGGACAGCTGAGGACAAGAGACCACAAGATCCTCAAAGGAGAAAAGAGTGGTGACCTGCAGTGACTGAGGACTAAGTGACGGTAAGAAGAACATCTTGGCAAATGCCAGTTGGATCATGAGGCTACCAAGGACCAAATGTCACCCCAAATGCTTAGGCAGTGTAAGCGTCTTGGTATAACGATGCAACCCCAGCGAGAAAGAAGAGAAGTGAATAGACTGGGGCTTAGTTTCTGATAGTGAGCACAATGGAGACCATACATGTAAATTAAAGTTTTACAGGAATATTTTCATTTCCTCTACAGATAATTTTGTGCCCTAAGACAATATATACCTGCCATATATATATATATATATATACATATATATGTGTGTGTATATATATATAAAACCTATCAAGGGGTAAAGGGGTACATAAAACACGTTATATGATATATATAATATATATATAAAACTTATCAAGGAGTACATATATATATATATATAACTTATCAAGGGGTACATAAAACATAAAAAACATGGCAATTTTACAGTATTGCTAAATCCTTCAAGTTCTGAAAGTGATAAAGACTGAAAGTGATTAAGACTTTGAATTAAACAGGCTTCAACTGTATGCTTTGCTAATCTTGATAAAATTAAAAGTAGTGCTCACTAAGAAATGATATAAGTTTTATTAAAAATAGCACTGTTTTATATAGCATCCATCACTCGGGTAAGTAATATACACTAGGAACTTTAATTATGGAGAGCGTGCAGATAGAGTATATAATAAAAATTTATTAGATCATTTGGAGGATTTCATAATTCTATTTTCAAAGGAACATGTTGTGGTATTCAAATATTTCTTATGAACATGAAAATTAAAGTAAGCTGCAAACTAGTTTTTACAAGCTTGACTGACTATTTAGCATAAGCAAATAAACTAAATTTTGGGCAGCAAAAATTTCATAGCAGGACTACAATGTATATGGAGACCTAAAATCTTCAAATTAACACTACTGTGAATAGCATACGTTCAGTGTGAGCATTTACAGATGCATGTATTAACCTGAATCATCCAATATCAATATTCACAATTACATGTATACTTACATTTAAATATTACATTTACACACATTACCTACCTAGAACTGCCCATTGTCTCTAGGTCTATCACTTGGTGAATAAGGAAAAAACACATTTTTCACAAGCGGTGTGCAAATTTTGTTCTATATTTCCATCCAAACTGCAAGTGTTAAACTCCATGAATTCTGACAATAAGAAAGTAATATTTGCATTTAAGCACAATGTGGCACTTTTAAAAGGTTTTGAAATCAGGTAAGCATATGATCATGATATTAACTATCCAAAGAACATTATAGAAAAAGTAGATGCAGACACAAAACTTAAAATATATAAAATAAAAAGTAGACATCATGTTACCAGTTATCCCAATTTATCAAAAGGATTTGATGATGGTGTAATAATATATTTCATTGACTATTTTATAAATAATATTTTCCCAGGCTCTTACTAGAAGCTGGGTACTTCTAGAGGCTATATTATAAACTGCAGGATATAGAAAAAGTATTTCCTATATGTATTAAAAGTGTTGCTGCATACTATGAAGTAATGAAAGTTATTTCCAAGAAGCAGTCTGGGAAATTCAGCAAAAGTTACATCAGTCTAATGAAAGAATTAAACATAGGACTTTGAATAATAAGCTCATAGTTTCTACACGAGTTCTACTAGAAATTTTAAATCCAGTTAACCTCACTGGGGCTCAGTTACCTAATAAATAAAATTACAGCGCACCTTAAACATAAAATATTTTATTCATTGCAGAACATCATTAGATCTGTTCTTTATTAGTGTGTTAGCCATATATTTATAATAATACACTAAAAGCTATTTTAAGGAAGGACAAGAAAATTTAAAAATAAAATTCCCTCTCTTAGTTTGGTCCTCCTCCCTCTGTCCCTAATGTGCAGTGTGCATCTCCATTAAACATTAACCAGAGCGCCTCAAAGGTGGGAATGCCTGCCTGCTCCACAGAAAGATCTTTTTTTTTTTTTCCTTTCTTCTGACACTAGCTATGCAACTTCTTAAAAGAATAGCATTCTTTCCCAAATTTTAGGGGGTCATAATGACTTGCTGTTCCCTTTGTACGACGCTTATGCTTACCTGGACTGTGAATCTTCAGTGAACTTTATGTAAAATACCAGTATGCCATTTTGATGTATGAACCTTTGTCTCGAAAATGTACATGACTGTGCTTTCCACTTCTGACAGGTGGAACAGTTCTCAGGGCTTCTGAGAGTCTGTCTCCTGGATTATAATCCTCAATTTGGCTTGAATAAAATTCCCTTTCATTAATTCTTCTTAACTTGATAATTGAATTTTCGTCGACAAAGAGTAAAATGATACAACCACTTTGGAAAGCTCTGGAATTTTTATATAAAACTTAACATAGCCAGATACATCCCAAGCATCCTTCAATTATGAAAATGCATA